CCAACCTCAACATTCTGTGATTCTGTGTGATTCTGTGCAAATCTTGGAAGTAATAAAACAGAAAAGTTACCTGCTTTGCAATACAGCAGAGTGATGAAAGTAGAGATTATTTTAAATATTTAAATCATGAGTTTACTATTGATGAAATTCAGTTTAAACAGGGAAGCATTAAGCATGTGAATACTATCAGAAGGTGTCTCAAAGCTTCCATTGCTTTCTCTAGTTTAAGTCTTTGGATTTAAACTTTAAAACGGCTACAAACAAATCCCAGAACATAGTGCTAGAAAACAAGTAAATTAGAGATTAAATTGCTTGGAAAATAAAGGCATTTCAAATAAGTTTTCTGGAAAAAACCCAAATGTCTATTATAGATCTATTACATCCTAACAATGGCTGCTGATTTACACCAGTAAAAGAAACCTAACAATTCTGGGGTATATTCTACAATGCAGAAGTAATCTGAACCAGAAGCACTAGTAAAGACTAAAACTGCACAAATTTATATCATAAATAAAACATTCCAGATTAGGAAGAACAACTAGTATTTGAAGGTACATATCTCCTGTTGTCTGAAATTCTATGTAACAATGACTACTGAAATTGCCTAAACCAACAGTGATAAATATGTTCAAATATTTACAAGTCCAAGGTGACACAATTTCCCTTACAGGTCAAACAGCATGCTTTTTTTGGAAAAAAGTCAAAAATATGAATGGTCCTAAAGCCCTGGATATCTGAAAGCTCTTTGTATTTTCAAATACTCATGTGCCTTCCTTTAAATTTATAGTCAAAAAGGTACAAAATAAAATGTTAAATTCTAGTGGCTGTTATAGAAAGTTCATAATGTTTTGACTAAAATCTATTATCTTGTAAAAAGAATACAGTGATGCAGGCATATCCTGTGTAACTAGAATACACCTGACTCAATGCTCAATTTTTCACACAGATCACCTTTGCTTAATATCAATTAGTGCCTTGCAAAAATACAGAATAAATAATGATTCCTGTTCAGACCAACCTGCATTAGGACAGACAAAATAAAGAAAACAGTCTATGGTGACATTTATCATGAGATTAAAAAACCCCACCCTCTTTAAAGCTGTTTTAAAAACAGAACTGAGGGGGAAAAAAGCTTTTGATGGGTATGAAGGAGTAAAGGACAGCTAAGAAATAGAAAAAAAAAAACCCCAAAGCCTAGAAGAAACAGCTGCCAAGAAGAGGAAAAGAACAAATAACTAACAAGCAAAACCCAGAAGTTAGTATTCTACATTTTAAGGCAGATATGCCTCTGAAAATACTGAAGATGTAAAGCAGTTGAAGCGATGACAGATAGTAGTTATGTTCTCAACTTCATGTAGAAAGTAGATGAAAATAAAAGAGAGGATGTAAAAAAATGGCTTAAGATGGTAAATATTACCAGTCATAGCAAGACAAATGCTTGAACTTCAAAGAAGCCATCTATAGTTTCTGGCAGTCTCTAGAGTCACCTACTAAACAGCAACACAAACCACTGGAGTGTTTTAGAAGCCCCATACAACTGTTTTTTTCACAGCATTTCTTTTTTAAAAAACAAAACTAAAAAACACCATAAAACAAAATCACCAAAACCCCCAAACCCACAAAATATTAAAATCACAACAGTTTTTATTCACATATGGATGACAGAGTTTCAGCATAGGAAGAGTTCAAGTGAAAGGTGATACAACACCCTGCCACTTGAAAGAAAAATAAATCCATATCCAAACTGTAGAGAAAAGCTACTACAGGAAAATATCAACTTACATGTTTCAAAAGCATTTCAGATTTGAATGCAAATTTTAAAATGCATGACTTTTACTTATCACAGTAGTGAAAACTTTAGATTATGGGAATACTTCAGTATATGTTTGTATTTACAACTTCAGCAATTTTTTTTTTAATATTTCTAGCACTTGAAATATTTTGCTACAACTAACATCTGACGTTAAAAAAATAGCTACTTACCAGTAATTCTTGTCCTTAGAAGATATTAGTTACTATAACAGTTCCCCATTCCTGTGTCCATTCTTAGTGTGTAGCAACGAGTGCGGGATGTTCAGAGCTCAAAGTTGGGAACCTTTCAAGGATCTCACCAGTAGGTGGCACATTTACCCACTATAGAAGCATAACAGCCTATAACTGCCCCAACTGTCAGCACAGTTCAACACAGGTCCGGAAAAGAAAAATACCTTGTAGATCCAGAGGGCTGACAACGATTATTACAACTACGGTATTATGAGAACGAGCACTAAAACTGCACAACCTCCTTCTCCCAGAAGGTAGCCGTTATGACTGACTCCTGGTCTTGGAAACTTCAAGAGGCAAAGATATCTAATGAAATGGTAACAACGAAAATGTTACAACAGAAGCTTAAGGTGGCTCCTATATATATTCTATTCCTATCGTCATCACTAGCCAGAGCCTCAATAAGTTCTGACATAAGGCATATGTAAATTCTACGGACAGATACATCAAGAAGCTAATCATAAATCTGAAGTGTTCATTTAATTAGCTATATAAGCAATCTTGTTTTCTTTTCCATTTGTTTTCTATTGTATTTATTTTATTAGAATAAATATAATAACGTCAAGGCCTGGAATGGTCCTGAATTTCTTGCTGAAGTCCAGCAAATTTTAAGAGGCTCCGATGTTTTCTCTACCCAAGTCTACTATCTAACACCGCATCCACATCAGCTGAGCCTTTCTGCTAAAATGATTAGGAGTATTAGTTAGTGGTGTCACCATATTAAAAATACCGCTAGGTTGCTATGTGAATGACTATTCACAGCTATTGTTTGAAATTCAGAACTTGAGAAGACCACGTTTAATCAGTCTATACACAAGTCTCACTGATGGTTATCTGCACAACCGTAATAGCTACAAACATCCTTTCAAATGCTGTCTCAGAGCCTGAAGCTGAATTCTGTGGTGGTCTACTGTGGCAAAGTTGTGAATAAATGGGGACCTGACCAGGGTAACAAATTTCTGAAACCCAAACAAGGGAGTTGTGCCTCAACATACTGCCTGATCTTCTACATACTTCTTGAGGAAAAAAAACCCCAAATCCAAAAAAACAACCCGTCAAACTAAAAAAAACTTGTTTGGAATTTAAAGCAAGTTTAAAAAAGGTGGAAGGGAAGTTATGACTTGGTGAAATTTATCCAGAAACAGAAATGAAAAGCTTTCAGCAAACAGCGATCAACAACCAAAAAACAGCCGAAATGAGCTCCTCACCTGTTAGCAGATAAGGGGACAGGCAGTTGACGCAGTTAGTTACTAGCCATTATGTCTCAGCAGTGGGTAGTTGCGCATCAATTGCTGGTGAGGTGGTTCACCGGCCCGAACATTCCACATCCAGTCACACACATAAGGCATGGATCGGGAGAGCGGGAAAAACTAGAAATTACAACACTTACCTTTGAAGAATACACAGTACTTTTTCTATGAATTTTCTTAAAGAATATACGATAACAATGTATGTGTAACTGCATGATGAGTGAAAATTGATCCAAGAGAGTCAAATTCAATATCTTTTGAGTAAGTGTATGAGAAATATTTAACTTAGGAGACAACAGGTATTCATTTTTTTCAAATACATTTTCTTAACCTGGTATCAAACATCCTTAAGTTTCTCTATGTTGGCAGGTTTTCCTAAAGGTATGGAACACATCTCTAAGGTCACACTATTTTTCTTTATGTTGCATAAAGAGGCCTGAATTAAAACTAAGTTTTAAACCCTCAACTACCAAATACATGTTATCCCTACATTTGACAAGTACCATATAAGCATTTAACTAAAATGCCCATTTAGAAATTAAATGTTTTACCATGAAATAAACTGTCCCCTCCCTTACCACTGAATGTTGGTTCAGCTACATTGAAAATGGCAGAAGTTATGTCGTAAAAATTACATACCACCAAAACACTGGCGACACACCATCTATCACCAAGATTAACACTGGTATTTCTGGGCATCTTCCTAGACTAAGGGCCCCACTTTGCATAACCACTCGTACTTATGAACTTAGTGCTGCCATTAGAATTTTTTTCCGTTTTACCCTTTTAAAAAGATAACTCAGCAAGAAGGGTTTTTAAAGAGTCTGATCACAAGTTCTTATCTTTTTTATCTTTTGAGAAGCTCATGCTTAAGTGTCCCTAAAAACAGACTCACCAATGACTAGAACTGATGAAATGTTATTAGATAACCGTTGCAATCTGTGAAGAGCAGAAATGACACTTTATTTCCTTCATCGTGGTGGATCCCAGATCCCTAAACCTGGGCCACACCAAACAGGCATGAACAAGAGTTACGTTAGTTGATTTAATGTGATTGCATTGATTCCTGAACACCTCAGCTGTTTGAGAAGCACAAAGATCGTACTTTAATATGCTGAGCATATTGTTGCTCTATTACAAGTGAAGATTTTCCGTGATACTATTTCTCTACTACTATAGTTTCTACTGAGAACAACAGAGATTCCCTTACACAGAAACACAAAGAAAAATAAAACTCAACATTTCAGGCCACTTTTATACATCATAAAGCAATAAATGGACAATCATTTTCCAAGAACACCAAAAGCCATTTTTTCCCTCAAAAACTTGTTACTAGTAGCTTTAAAGGGGTTTCTACATATTTTTACCTTAATTTCAGAATTATTTTATTACAAGGTGTTTAAAAGGAAATATAAAATGAATGGAACTATTTTATTCCTTCATCAATAACATGTATGGTCACATAAGAGATCAGTATCAATGATAATGATTACTACTGTGTTAAAAACTAGTGCATACTCAGAATACTGCTATGAATGTATTCTGATTGTGTCCAATTGCTTTGCCAGATCCACTCATGCAAAATGTTATCTCACCTATTTACTTTTAGTAACCTAGATTTATTTTTTCATCAAATATCTGACTGGGCATAACCGTAGCACACATTCTTATCATTTGCATTTTCTATCATTTATTGTAACTACTCACCTTTGTGGTAGCTATACTATTCACAAAGCTGATTTGCTGAAACCCTTTTTCGCTTAAAGTGAGGCACACATCCCATCGCTCATTCACAACTTCATGAATAACTTTGAGGGCAACTCCAGTTTCATCCAACTTGTCTTTTACGTAAAGATCTACGTAACTGCGAAATCCATTTACCTAAGAGTAATACAGGTAATGATTACTATTCTTTGCATCAAACACTCATTACACTTAAAGTGTCTTAAATGAGGCTCTTACAGGTAATTTCTTCCCATTGAACAAGACTTTGACTCCTTTGCATGACCCAGCCAAATCATACGCTCTTCTTGTCATGAGGGCCACAATATCTTTATCAAGTTTTTCCATTTTAAACTTAGACAGATCTGGCTGGAATGTAATGCATGTGTAGTCATCACCATCGAAATGCTTAATCTTGGGTTCAGAGGTCTTCATCATGTTGTTCATCCAAGTCTTTAGAAATAGAACATTTTAGATGTTAGTTTACAACAAACGTTATCCTCCTCCTTTGTTTCATTTTCCAACTATGATAGGATTGCAACAGTTACACAACAAAAAGCACACAGAGTTCTTTTAGAAGATTCCTCTGTTAAAACCCTACACATAAAATTAATTGATTTAACAAGATTTGGACAAGCATTCGTGACAGTAGATTGGTGGTTTCTGTAAATACACAGGCATTGTTACACTGATGGATGTGACTCTAATGCAAAATAAGAGCCCACCACAGAACTGACTAAATTAGATGTGAGCTACCTAAACAGTCCTTCTTGCCTCTCAGCTTAACTCTTTCAACCTACTACGTACTTCTGTGGACTTATTAGTCCACATGCAGTGACTCAGTAGTCTCTGACAGAGCATGTTTATGGCTGTGCAGTCTACGAAAGCAGGTTTCTTACAAACCAATTTGCTCAGACTTGACTCAGGACTCTTGGTATTGTTCCCCATTTAAGAATTTGTGCACATTTCTAAGACCAAGCTGAACACCTACTCATAGTATATGTCAAAGTTCGGTAGAATTAAATTTCTACAATTTTTGGAAATATTAGAAAACAGAGCACTTTAAGTCATAAAGCCTGTAATTTTCAAAAAGTACATTCAAATTAGTATCAATATATCTTTTAGTAGTCAGCAGAAAATACTATATTTTTAAAGACAGGTGAATCCACTAAAATGTACTGTTTATGTAGTGACACAACAGCATAATCAGAAATTAATTATTTGTTCAGAAAAAGCGAGATGGAAACCACCAACTGGGAAAGACTTCTGAGCCAAGAAACTTCGGTATCTAATACTCTACCGAACCTCATCAAACTTTTAAAAGTTTGGGATCAAGTTACATTTATTCCTTGGTCTGTGTGCTAGCTAGGACAACTGAGCAAGGGATTCAAATGGAGAGGAAGGGCGAGTTTGGACTGAAGTCCAGTTAGGTTAATGAAATTCCTGACAAACACAGGAAAAAAAAATTAACACTATACAAAATTACCTAGATAATTGTTTCGATGTTTGCACAGTTCAGTAGAAAGATTTTTTTTTCTTTACAAATTATACAACAGTACTTACAAAATGTTTAAATTAAATATATTCCTTTTCACATGCACAGGAATATATACCTTAGTTTAAACAGAAGAAATCTGGTTTTCATTCTTAGTCATCTATCACTCCCATGAAAAAAACTATTTAACAAAAAAATTTCTAATACACAGAAATATCAGTTTTACTGACTGAACTAACTTAGCCTGCAAACTCTACACATCCATCTGAATGTTAAATTATTAATTTCATGAAATATTCATAAAGTATAGAAAATGTGTTAAATTTAAAATTTAAAATTATGAAAAAGAAAAGAAATAAAGCTGACATCATTTCTATACCTGCTTAAAGCTGTGTTTGTATTCCTTGCATGCAGTTTCAACTGTAAACTTTGTACTAAATATGTTACAAAGTTTTGCACCATATCCATTGCGCCCACCTAGAAAAGGAACATATAGTAAGTGTTTTACAGCCAAACCATATTTATGATTTACAGAGAGTATGCCAATAAGCTAAAACAGTCCTATGTAAGATAACAGTTGGGCCACATGTCAAAGCTATTAAAAGTTTACAGCCAAACCATATTTATGATTTACAGAGAGTATGCCAATAAGCTAAAACAGTCCTATGTAAGATAGCTTTGACATGTGGCCCAACTGTTATTAAAAGATTCCAGAGATGGAGTTTCATAATACCTCCAATGTGATGTATTCTTTTCTGCCTCAAAATGAAGTTTTCTCCTCTCCCCAAAGCCAGGATGCTCCCATTACTTCCCTTATGTTGATCTACTACTTGCTTACTAAAACGCAAGTGACCACAGCACCCTGATCCAGCTGAAAACTAGGCCATGATCAGATCCAAATCACTCTGCAATCACACATCATAAAATGGGCAAAATATATGGGGTAGGATAGAACAGAACTTCCATTCATGATTAGGTTACTTTCATGATTAGCGTTTACTTTATATTTACGATAATAAATCGTATCGTAATTTATTAAATTTATTTTTCCCTTCATTTCAAGAGCATAAATGGTTAAATGTTCGCATATGTTATGATTAAAATATGAAAAGAAGTTGTTTGTATCTGAATAATGAGTAGCGATATTAAAGATGTAAATGTCAAGTTCTCTGTAAACACTGGTATTAAAAAGTAACACGTTTTCTTTAAGTCATTCTACTTTAAAAAAGAGCTGTAGTAATGGTCACTAAGTGATCATCTGTAATGAAACAGAACAGAAAGAGGAAAAAGTAAGAGAATGCATACTGAAAAGCAAATAATGGCTTAACTAGATAAAACAAAGCATGTTAAAGAGTCTTGCCTGTAACTTTTTTCTCATCATCATCATAGTTGCTGGATGTTAGCAGCTGCCCAAAGATTAAAGCAGGTACGTATACTTTTTCTACTTTGTGTTCCACAACTGGTATACCTTTTCCATTATTCCATATGCTGATAATGTTTGATTCCCTATAGAATAGAGAAGACATTAAATCAATCAATGCAATCTTGCAGACTCCTGCACATATTTTACCTGTTCAATAAATAAAATAAAAACCATATTCATACCACATTTATTCACAGCTCTTTCAATTTTATTTACAAAACCCCACTTCTTTATGTTTATTAGATGTCTTGGAGGAAGGAGCATAATTGCTCAGAAAGAACAGTATTTAGCATCATAAACATAACCACCAAAAACCTGTTTGAAGTGCTTTCACTGTCAACATGATCTGAAACAGAGTCCTGAAGTTTAGCATCAGAATTATACTTAGATATGCAGGTTTTCAGATTTCAGTTTCAGACTTCAGATTGAAGTTCACCCAGACACAGCCAAGTTATCTTCTGTTTAAAACTATTTCCAAGTTATGACAAACATTGTAACTTATTTTATGCATCAGTGTCAAAATCCATCAGCATCTGGCATCATTAATACTTGTAGCTCTCACACAGAACTTTCATTTTGGCATATTAGAGAGTTCAAAACCACAACAGGTCAGGCAGATTTACACTACCATTTCCCTCCCACTTCACGACAAAAGTAATTTGGTCTACTAAAACTGATGATGCACTGAAAACTTGCAGAAAAATTACTTCTCAGCATATTACTTCTCATCAGGAAATATCTCTTTAAATAAAAAAACAGTAGTAATGACATATTTGCCATCTGCAGTCTCAGCGTGATACAGCTGACTAATTCAAATGTAACTTTATCCTAATGTTAAAGGAGTTAGAACAGAAGTTCAAGAGGTGCACAATTATGTTACAAAACCTCATGGTTTGTATTTATAATTTATTAATAGCCTGGCTTATTATAGTTATGTACTACCAAGCTTTGATCCAATCACAAATTTTATGATCTTCCTGTTTTAAGTTTCATTCAATCAAACATTGATGAGTAGTTTAGGAAAGAAAACTTACAAATTCAGAATGGTAGTATTCACTATCAGCCACTTTTAATTCACCTTTTCATCTTAAAATAGGAGGGTAATGGAAGCAATTCCAAATATATTATTTTTTTTTTAAAAAAAATCATTAGTAAAATCCTTTGTACAAATCTGAACTACAATAGCACTACCAGGGAAATGAAAACATGCTTTTACTTACGGATCAATGGAAATTTTAATACAAGTCATATTCTTGTCCCTCTGCTTATTGTCAGCAGCATTTACTGTGAAAGAAAGTAGCACAAATTACCACTTTTTAGGATCAATAATTAATTACTTGATCTATAAAACTGATTGTATACATATTCCAACTCAAATTACAATGGTCCAGGTATTTCTTAATCTGGCATCTCTTTGTATATTCTGTATCTTATTACTAAAGTATATAAATATGACCAAGTATCTGCAGGAAGATACTTTTCAGCCTTCTTACAATTACTGACTCTATCTCTATAAATAAATATAGAAGTGTATTTTGTGAGCCTGTGCTCATTAATTGCTCTTAACATACTGAGGACTTCATTCTTGTCTTGCTGTACTTGTTTAGATATTTATTATACATATGACATCATGTAAGTTAAAAATTCTAGAAAATTATATGCATCACCAGATCAGTTTACACATCCTTTTGACACTGAAACCCAGTCCTGAAAAATTCACATCCATTAAGGAGTGTTTTGACTGCAGCAAAAGTTACCTTTAAAGAGTCTGTGAGTTACATCTAGCAGTTCTAAGTTATCTCCTAAACAGTTTACACATCTCAGGATCAAAAGAAGGGTAAACTGAAAATTAACATTTGATCAGAATTTAATTGAACTGCACTCCAATGTATATTAACTAGAAACAACAGAAACTAGAAATCAGAAATGTGATTGTGGCCATTAACCAGGAAAACACATTACAGTCATTTCTAGCATTTGTCTCATCACCCACAAAAGAGATCAAAATAAAACCCCAAACCACCAAAGGACAATATCTCAGTAGATTATAAGGATCTCAATATAAGATCAGATATTTCAACACGTTTTTGCTAAAATCATAAAGTGTCATTCAGAAGTATGCACAGCTCCATTGTCTAATTTCTGAAATGTTATTACACTAACCCCTAGGTCTCAAACTACACTCTGGAGCACTTATCAGTGCTACATAAAGAAGCAATAAACCATAGAGTACTACAATAACGATATGATAATGATCTTCTTGCTGAATGGGACAAGATGGAATCAGGCACCGTCCCATGAAAAGCCCATAAATTTCATCTATGAGGCAGGACTCAAAAAAAAAAAAGTGACAAAAGATTTTCATTCTCATATTTCTCAAATGGAGTAATAAGTGAAAAAATAAAAATGTTATTTTCCAGCTGGCAGAGATACAGTACTTATTGCCTCTAAGACAATGATGCTATATAAAGCACAGTTTTAGAGGTATAGAGAAGTTCTGAATGTAACGAACACCATGACAAAATTCCCATCGACCTCAGTAGAACATTATTTAGTTTACAAAGTAGTCCCACCAATCCTTGCAAGATAAATTCGTAAAAAATTATTAGTCTGTGATTTCATGTCAATTAGCCCAAAATATCTGTTCAGTAGACATTGCACAGCTCTACTGCTGGTTAGTCTTCAATGTATGCCTGCCTCCAGGAGAACATCACAAACTAGTAAGTCACAGTGACTCATGGACTTATGACAGAATTTTCTATAAATCATTTGCCTCAGTCACCATGCTTTTAAATGACAGTATGATACTTTTTAAAAAACTGTCTGAAGTCTAGAAATGATCCATGTAAGAATCACCACCACTATCACTCTGTGCAAAAGGAGTGACCGATGAAATGATGATCTAACCTTACTTAAAACTGTGGCCCTAATCAGCTCAGCAGATTAAAAAATCTTTTTACAATATTGATCATAAAGAAAGATCTAGTTTGGGTATTGAGTAATAAATATTTGCAATTTCTTACAAGTTCAACTGAAAACTCTTTCCTCTTTAAACTGTTCCATAGTGCTGGAACGCACTAAAATTTTCATGCACTGCAGTTTAGTGGGACTCTAAGCCTGTGTTTTGATAATGCTAAAGCATTAAAAATACTTACCAAGGATTTCATCGAAGATCTTGTACAAGCCTGGAACAAAGGTAACTTCTCTGCAATTCATTCCTACATCTTCATCATAAACCCACATTAGCTACATGTGAACAAAATAAAAATATTTACTGTCTTGGTAAATCAGTCTATGATTCTCTAAGACTTACTCACTTCAGGAACATTACTCTTTCTGATTGCTGCTGTCATACAAGGCAAGTGCAGAATCAGAAGTCTGACACAAAGTTACAATCACATCCACAAAGACTTCATAATGAAAATCTGCTTGGTGGGGAACTCCAGCAGTACTAACAGTGAAGTTCAAAGCAATTTGAAGCTTCACAGAAACAGCTGAAAAATGTGCCAGCAGGAGGCTTAAATTGTCTGTTCTTTACCTAAATAAACACACCAAAGCATTTTTGCACCTAGAACAAATGCTACTTACAAATATGTGTATATATATGTATATAATTGTGTGCATATGAACATGTTTGTAAACACACATATATATACACACAGCCATGTGTTTATACATATAGGTGTGTATTTGTTCTGACTGAACTTTAACATTTTCTGAGCATGTTTTTTCAGGTGAACCAAGCACTGCTTTAAAAAGTCTTCCCTTGACTTCTATTCCATATTCTACACGTGTGTACATAAACATGAACACAGATTTTAGCATGATAATTCAGAATACTCAGGAAAGTAGAAATGTGCCTATTTATTAATCAGAATAGCACTTTCTCATTTAAACAACAAAAACTATTAAAACCATAAAGTTAATGATGCTTACCTGAGTTAATGGTTCAACTGATCCAATGTAGGTATCGGGACGGAGAAGGATGTGCTCAAGTTGAGTCTTTTTCTGATAAACTCTCTCAACAGACATCTTCTTTGAAGTGTCATTTTTATTAATGCTTTCTGAGTCTTCCTTTTTTGAAGCATTGATCTGATTATCAAATAATGTCTAAAAAAAAAATAAAGAAAACGCACCAGCAATCAACCTTACTTGTTCAATCTGTCACTCTCAACATATAAGCACAACCTAACAGATATTTAAATAACAATCAAAACTTGTCATGTAATTTAAATATTAAGTTTTCAGATGTATTAAGAACAAGCTATCCTCTCAATAGAAAAAAAACCCACAGATAATACAACAGTTTCTTAACAAATGGTAACATACTCAAATTTCTGTGATTTACTAAGCCTGATAAACCAAGCTAAGGAAATAAAAGTGACTCTCTTTAAAAAAAAAGGCACCCATCTCCTCAGATTAAGTATTTACAATAGCCATTTTGTGCTTAAGCAATTGAATCCACTGAATATTGTTCTGAATAATAACAGTAAAAATTAGCCTTTTACATTCTAGTTTGGACAATTCTTATAGTGGGACTTAAGAAACACTGTATTGCCTCTCCTATGGCTTCTCAACTGCTATAGTTTACATTTTCCATTTAACTCAAGTAATTAAAACTGACACAATCCCAGTTTAGAATGCTTTATGATGAAATAAGCCAAGGACTGTATAAAAAGAGAATCACATAGGCTAACGTCAGGATTTAAACAGAATTCAGCCTAATGCGACTGGACAGCTCCTATGACTGGAATAGATGGGTACAGGCTCTTTAGGAAAGACAGGCAGGGGAGAAGAGGAGGGGGTGTCACCCTGTATGTCAACTACCAGCTGGAATCCATGGAGCGTGGCCTGAGGGTGGATGAGAGCTTATGGTTCAGAGTTAGAAGAAAAGCAAGGGAAGGTGATATCACAGCAGGGATCTGTTAGAGGCCACCTGACCAGGATGACCAAGTGAGGCCCTCTATAGACAGATAGGAGCAGCTTCACATTCACAAGCCCTGATCCTCATGGGGGACTTAAATCACCCAGATATCTGTTGGAAGCACATCTGTTGGAAGGACAGCACAGCAGGGTGCCAGCAATCCAGGAGATTCCTGGAATGCATTGATGACAACTTCCTTCTCCGGGTGATAGAGGAACTGACAAGAAGGGGTGCTATGCTGGACCTTGTTCTCATCAACAAGGAGGGGCTGGTGGGTAATGTGAAGCTTAAGGGTAGTCTTGGCTGCAGCAACCATGAAGTTACAATTAAAAATCCTCAGGGCAATAAGGGGATCGCAGAATCACAGAATCACAGAATGTTAGGGGTTGGAAGGGACCTCTGAAGATCATCTAGTCCAACCTTCATCCCAGCATACCTAACCACTACACCATAGCCTCAAGT